GTTTGATATATATAATATCTTTAAAAAAAATTTCAAGTTGAAGCTAACTAGTCACATTTGATGATAAAACCTTCTGGTACATCTTACAGCAAAATTTTATTAATTTTTTTTTTATCGAAATTGAAATATTTTGTGAATTTAGGCGAAGGAAATTCCATATTATCTATCATTTTCCAGGGATATTACTTTGTGTCGATACGATCTGTAACCAAAATTATCTTCAATATCTAATCTCTACTTGTCGACAATTTTTTGCTATTTTTTTTAGTGGCGAACTTCCACTATCTGCATAATATATATGTAATATTAATATGCTATCGCGTAATTGGAATATTAACAGGACCTCTGGGGCTATCTCCCCTCTTTTGAGGGGTTTTAGGTGGTTGATCATTATTATAGAGGTTGTCCGAACTATCACTCTGTTGTAACCTTTATGATCGTTTGGTAGTCCTGGGAAAATTTTTGCGATTGTCCGAAGGATTATTACACACGAATTGATTTTCAAAGATAATCGTTTTAACATTGTGTATGCCTTTATAAAGCAAAGGACTTTATTTCTACTGTAAGGCCCTCCAAAGTTTTCCCAGGACACTTAACAATGTTTTAGTAGTATTCTACTTTATTTAAAACGTAATGTTATTACACAATAGCTATCGAATTAGTGCCCGAGTTAAATTCCTTGGCTGGGTTTCCTGTTCTAATAATGTCAACTTAAATCCGCTTCTAAAAATCTTTATAAGGACTACTAATTTATTTTTTGATTCTATTGATATTTTTGGACATTCATTTACGATTTGCCTATGAAACTATTACTAAAAGATAAATTAATCTAAAAATTATTTTGCGCCATCTGGCGAAATAAATTTCGTAGAATTTTATATTTTATAATCGACATATTATCGCACAAATAAATTATATCGAATATCTTAATAACGGATAATTGAACTATTAATTTATTTTGATTTTTTTTTATTAATGGAATTCACATAATCATTTTTAAAATTTATTTTTCTTTTTTGTTATTTCTATTTTCCGTGATAAATATTTTTGATATAAATGTGGTTATTAATTTATTAAATATTTGTTTATAAATATTGAACTGGGAGAAAAGTTCGATTAAGAATAATTTTGATTTAGAATAATTTTTGAATATATTATTGAGCAATGGTGGAAAAGTTCAATTAAGACTAATTTAAAGTAGAATGTTCGCAAAGGATGTAATATAGACTAATGAACGAGAAATTATACGTTTTAATTTAATTTACAAAAGAAAAACAATATATGTTAATATATATGCGAAAAACACAGCCTTCAGATATATAACTAAACTTTTAAATATAAATTATTTAAATATAACTGACATTTTAAATATAAGTAATAAAATAATAGCGCACATGCAACATGCACTCCCTCCAAAAAAAAAATATATATAAAAATGAATATTGAAATTAGTGAATAAACGCTCGCTTGACATGCGGGAGGTAATTTAGACTTACCTTTAAGAAGAAAATATATGTATAAAGGGGAAATGGCACCATAGTTGTACATTATAGTTTTTTATGTAATTACCCTTACAAAAGGTATAGATTACACTATCGATAGGTACAATTCACACTATAGGTGGCCAATAAATAATAAGTATATTTGGAATAAAATTAATATAATGAAGATAATTATTTAATCAAAAAAAACAATCATGAAAATATAAGAATAAAAGGGAAATGGCACCATAGTTGTACATGATAGTTTTTTATGTAATTACCCTTACAAAAGGTATAGATTACACTATCGATAGGTACAATGTCACACTATAGGTGGCCAATAAACAATAAATATATTTGGAATAAAATTAATATAAATGAAAAAATTTGGAGATGGTGCTAAAAAAAAATATATATATAATCAAAAATTTAGAAGAAGATATTTGGAAGAAATAGTTAAATAACAATGATTAGTATACAAACAATTCAAATAAATTCGGAGGGGATTGGGGAGGGGTCAAACTAGCTAAACAATAAATTTACACTATAATTGTGCTAGTAGTTATCCATAATAGTTTTTTTTTTATATATTTATATAAATTAAACTATATATGGTTAATAGGGATGGCCAACCTAGATATTGCATATAGTTTTTTTTTTATAGTTATACCCTTGACTTAGATTCTATAAGAAAGGTATAACTTACACTATATAAATTGGAATAATATAATAATAATAACCAATACTGGTTTTAATTTAATTATTATACTAATTCCTTGTTATTAAACAATAAAATTAAATTTACATTGATAAAAAAAAAAAAATTAACGGAAGTTTTAATTGTGAAACAAAAAGGTGCTTACAAAATCTTTTGCAATTATGAGAATGTAAAAAATTTTTTTTTATATCGATTAAATTGAATCATTCTTTTAACAACCGTCTCTTCATCTTCAGACCCATACCTAACACGCAAAGGAAGTAACCAGTCTCTTTAACACGTCTTTTCAACTTCAGACCCATACCAGGCGCACATAGGTTGAATTCAGTCTCCGCACCAGCTTCCAAAAAGCTGGTGTCCCTATCCTCCACTATATTGAACTGGGAGAAAAGTTCAATTAAGAATAATTTTGATTTAGAATAATTTTTGAATATATTATTGAGCAATGGTGGAAAAGTTCAATTAAGACTAATTTAAAGTAGAATGTTCGCAAAGGATGTAATATAGACTAATGAACGAGAATTTATACGTTTTAATTTAATTTACAAAAGAAAAACAATATATGTTATTATATATGCGAAAAACACAAGTGATTAAAATAAAAATATATATGTATTTATATATGTATTTATAAATATTTTCTGTTGCCATCAGATATATAACTAAACTTTTAAATATAAATTATTTAAATATAACTGACATTTTAAATATAAGTGATAAAATAATAGCGCACATGCAACAATAAACAAAGATAATATATTTAAATCAATAAGATAATTAGCTTAATTTTTTTTATAATTAATTATATATTTATTTATAACAAAAAAATAAATAAATTTAAACATATAAGTTTTATGCTGAAATTATCTGAGTTTGCTAAAAAAAATATTGAGGTGCTATAGTAGTAATCTTTTAAATACATATTATTTTTTTTGTTATTACTATTTTATTTTCCATGATAACGATTTTTATATATAAAATTTGGGCTTTTTTATATAAAATTTGGACTAGTAATATTGTATAAATATATGGGTTAAAATATTACCTAAAAGAAAAATTAATATATTTTATTAATAAATTTGCTATTTTAAATCTCGATTAGAGTTGAGGTTAGTATTCTTTTTAATATAACAAATTCATTCATTAGAATCTTAATTATAAAAAATTATTTTTTATTAATAAATAAATATTACTTGGATTGAATATATAGACTTAAACTAAAATTATCAAGGTGATTTAAAAATATTGAGGCTAGTAAATCTTACAAAAGGTCAATTTTTTTTAAATTAATTAAATTATTGTTTGGAACAAAGTATAATATTTAAACCAATAAGGTAATATGAATGTTAAAAATAACAAAATAATAGTTTCATATATAAGAAAGGATTGTATTGTACAGAATTTAATTTAGAAAAAGGGGCTAGGTGGAAGAATGTTTGCCTTTGGAACGTTAAGTCATAGGTTCGAATCCCGTTGATGTATTTTAAAAAAAATTTCTTAAAATTTAACATTAGAGATATATCGTTTTTTTTTATTTTTTGCGGAAAGTGACTAGAAAAAATTTCGATCGATAGATTTGGTGGAAAGGGAAGCGAATTTCTGTATTTCCGGTAATCGATACTTCCTGTTCTAGTGAACCGCTTAAAAGACCAGATTAAAAAATTTTTTTTAGTCCAAGTAGGATTTATGTAAGTCTCGTGTTAGCAACATCTACAGGCTTATTATAAAATCTTGATCTGGATTTTTGACAACACTACTCCTGACTCTTAACTTCATTCTAACTCTGGAAGGCGAATCGGTGTTTTAATTCTTGAAAAATGGTGAGGGTATGGATTTCTACCCTTCCCAGACCTATACCTTATCCGCAAACTTAAATTTGTTTAAACTACTATTAAACGTCATCGGTCCCGTTTTTTAGCGATTACCACCCGATTGTTACCGCTATTAATCGAATAATTTATTTATTTATTTTTGTAACTGTAAACTACATCGAAATTCGTTATCATTACAACCTTGTAAATATCTGAACGAATATTTTGTAACTTATATAATGTCTGTAATCGGTAATTTTAACCCGTTTTTTAGCGATTTGGAGTTGTAATATGTTACACCCTGTTAGAATCATTTGCCCTTCCCTGGGTGGTCCTGGTTAAAAAAATAAAAAATGGCGTATACTTTATAACTTTGACAAATTATTATATTCAAACATTTCAATAATTACCACTTTTAGAAACAAAGGGAAATATTTTTCTGGGCGTCCTATCGCTACAGTATTTAGGATATATCTCCCACCCTTTATTGTTAGGGGAACTCTTAGTTCTTCTAAGAGTGGCAACAGCTGTTATAGTGAACTTCGATGCGCTCTTCTCCTTATTTACCTTTGTTATTGTAATAACTTGTACAGGGAGGTATATTGACTTTATTATTATATTCGTGTGGTGTTTTGTCTCCAACCCCCAATAACCAAGGTCGACAAGAAGGAAAGTGCATCAAAATGATGTTGGGGATGTGTCACTCATCACTGAAGTAAGCCTTTTCTAAAGGCTTCATTTCTAGGATGTATTATAAACTAGATCAAAGGTAATCGAACCGGTCAAAATGAATTGATCCGGTTGACACTCAAATATTTTTAACCTAATTCCCGGGACACCTTTATTCGCGTTCCCATCTTAGGAGAGGAAGAAAGAAAGAAAGAAAGAAAGATAAGAAAGAAAGAAAGAAAGAAAGAAAGAAAGAAAGAAAGAAAGAAAGAAAGAAAGATTAAATATATTTATATTTTAAAATAATTATTTCCTTCGAAGCGGAAAAGGAATATCACGATGGCAGAATAATACCTGTCGATAGGTTCAAAGGGGAGATCAGATTCGAGGAGGTCACCTTCGCCTACCCATCTAACCCCGGTAAAAAAGTGCTCGATCGTTTTAGCTTGACCATCAGACCCTGCCAAGTTGTCGCTATATGCGGCCATAACGGATCCGGTTAGACCGTATATATATATACATAATATTTGACGTTGTAATTTATCTATCTTTTTTGAAAATAAGCAATAACGACACTTTTTAACTCGTTATCTCGATTCGTTTAATCGCGACTTTTCCAACTTTTACCTTGGCAGCCATCTTCCCTTTCCACCCGCATTCCTCAATAATTCTACGATCTTGAGTGAATTCAAAGGAGTATTTTTTTTAAATAAAAATTCCTCTTAGCCACGTTTATATGATAATTTAAAGCTGCAAGATAAATGCAATGATCTTGACCCTTTTTCCAATCATAAAAAAGCTGCTCTTTCCAAATATGTTACGAGATTATGTCGTGTAAGGATATACAGAAATCTTCGATTAAATCGGTCTGAAAGGTTTCCCGTTGTCTGGGTCTAAAATAGAATTCGCGGTCTCTCTTCGACGGGGCTTAAAAATCACCTAAAGGGGGCATCCGATTGTGAAAACCTTGCTATACAAAATTTCCTAATGATTATTCGGAGGGAAAACTGGCCAACCTTGGGTGAACTTGGAAGGTCATTTAACGGAAAAGAAGGAGAGGAAGATTTGTAGGACCCTTTTTTTTCTATATTTTTACCGGAATCGTATTTCATCACGTGTTTAGTAATCTGCCGGGAGTCCTAGACAATTTTTTAGGGTAAAATTTGGGGTTTCCAGAATTTTTTTTTAAGTTTAAATTTAAAAAATTGATTAATTGTACGAAGTTTTATAGGGACAGGTCTTACACACCTAATGGTTGAAATAAAATTACGCCAAAAATTAAATTTTTCAAAAATATTCCCGCCAATTGAATGATTCAAATTTTTGAAGTAGAGAAGCCGCCAACAGAGTTAAACCCTTCTCGGTAGGTAGAATTACAGTGTCAATTTCTATATGTATTTTCTCATCTGTTTTGTTCTATATCCTAACTTTAATGTAATACCGGATCGCGGTTAAATTTTCTTATACGTTAAATATTGCTGTAAAAGGCAAGACAACGCTCGTTTCCTTGCTTCAGAAATTTTACGAAAATTATGAGGGCAGAATATTGATTGACGGTTATGACATTAGACATTTGGACTCCAAATGGCTCAGGAAATTCGTGATTGGGATCATTGATCAAGTGAGTTTTTTTTTCCTTCTTCTTTCTTACAAAATTCATTATTGATTATTATTTATTTTTTTTATAAGACCAACAACAACAAATAAATAATAATAAAAACTGAAAGTTTATTCCCACTCAAGTTGAATATATTGTGCCGATGGAAAAATCCATTAAATTACTTGATATTTAAAACCACTTCTATAAATTGCGGGGAGTTTGGGTGGGGGGGGGGGGTTAGTTGGACCTCTTTTGATCTAATTTATGCAAATATATATATATAGACCCTGGATTTGAACCTATACCTTCATATTACGGATAATTTTAAAAAAGCAACATTTTCAATAGCCAATTAAAATCTTTTAATTTTATCTAGATTCCACTGACATTTATTTAAAGAACCGTCTAAAATTCCCTTAAACCCAACTTAAATTCTTTTTCGGAGTTCTTTAGATATCCCTCTCCCGGTCAGCCAATGACAAGAAGGCCCATCTCATTTCAAAAATATACAATAATATATATATATATAATTGAATATGGGAGTTGATAAGAGAACGCGATCCTGGGATATCAATGAAATTGATTCGTAGACCGCCCCCCTTTCTTCTGTCTTGTGCCACCGTTCTGGCATTTAAAAAAAATGCATAACTTTCTGTAATTAGTTTGATTAACCCTAATGGTTGTAGTGAACTATATACTTTTTTATTCATAATAATAAGGACCCAATACTATTCTCGGGGTCTATAATGGACAACGTTAAATACGGAAAACCGGAGGCCACCCTAGAGGAGTTAAAGGAAGCTGTTGGGATCACTAAAATCGACGAATTCTTGCAGGAACCAGCCTCCCTGGTTCGCGATGCCGAATCTGAACTATTTCAACCGTACGATGTAGGTAAGCGGGAAGCGGAAATTGCTTTTAGGGAACGTGCTAAAATGGTGGGTGTCCTGGAAAAGATCGTAACGGAGTCTAAGTATCCCGCTTTCGATTTTGCTGCTGGTCCGAGTTTGGAAAAGTTTTTTTTATTATAAGTTTTTTAAAAAAAACTACTCGTTCATTCATTGACACTTGAGAAATCGCACTAGTTATCAGCTGTATGTCGATATCATATGTTCTGTAAGGGAAATGTTTGTATGCCAATCTCACGTGTCCTTGGTCTCAATAATAGGGAGATCTTTTGTATTACTTAAGCATTGGTTGATTGTCGATTATCAACATATTATCATTATTTGTTCATTTTATTTAGTTTATATAATTTTGTTATTTGTTTATTATTTGATTTTTTTTCCCCCATTATTTTGTTATTTTTGTTCCGGGGTAAAGTGAATTTTATTTGTAGTTCTGGAAAATTGATCATCTGGTCTAAGTCAAGCTTACTACCTCCTTAGAATAGATGGCGTTAATAATGATACCAAACTTCCCAAAATGAATTTACTCTAATGCATCGACATCTACTATTAAGTTTCTCCTTTAATGTTTACCGGCTTAGAAATAGTGACAGACTTTAAATATCTAGGAACCAAAATAAACCTCATATAGGTCATAACTAAGTTAGAAATATATAATCTAGAACAAACGAGACCAGGTTCGGTTACCATCTAACAGAGTTAAACCCTTCTACTAATATTAGGGTATATCTCCCACCTTTTATGGTTAGGGGTACTCTTAGTTATTCTAAAAGTGGGACAGCTGTTTTAGTAAACTAATTCCACTGAGAAAACTAGCCTTACTTGGAAACACCTATAAAATGATATTCTCATCCATGACGTAGTTCCCCAAAATCGCGGAACAATTAAAATCCCCAAAATATTTTTGGCTAGCTCTCGATCAATTTCTCCTTTGCAGAATTCGTGTTACTCGCCGGAAACAGGAATCTGAACTAGATTAAATCTATCATTATTTATTTTTTTTATAATCTTTCAAAAGAGATATGATCTTCGACAATTCCCATTCGATCCTCGAGAAAGATCGACTTAGCGAAAGAGGTAAAAATTTGTCGGGTGGCCAAAAACAGCGGATCAATATCGCCAGGACGATTCTCAAAAAACCTCCCATAATTGTATTGGACGAAGCTACTAGGTAACGAAATATAAAAGAAATATATCTTCAGTGGCAGAGACCTTCATGGGACCTGCAGGGTTTTTTGGGCTATAATATTTTTTATTTAAAATTAGTTTGCTAAAAAAAAATATTGCAATTTTTATTCAATTTCAGTATCGTTAAACAACATGGGTTGTCTGAACACATTTTAAATATTGTTTCATTTTCATTTAAAATACAATTGAAATTAAATTTTTCGGATATGGGGCTTGGCGGAAAAATACTTTTTTGAAACTTATTGCGGGCTTGGGCCGGACGATTTTTTCTAACATTAAACATGGGCTCCGTCTTAGCCTAAAAAAAATTTCCTGCCGGTCTTGAGCCAGGGCCCGTGAAGGTTTCCGCTTCAGTATTCGGTTACTAATATCAAAATTAATAAACCACGGGTCGCCAAGTTCGATGGATGCGGATTCCGAACGCAAAATCAAAGACGCTCTACGCAAATTTTTACCCGGTCATACCGTCATAACCATCGCCCATAGACTCAACACCATTACCCACGCCGATCTCATAGTCGTCATGTCAAAAGGCCAAATTATTGAGGTTTTTTTTTTAAATTTACTTCTCATTCATTTATACTCAACTCCCATTTTAAAAAAAAATGGTCTAATAAGGGCACTATTTATGGGTTCGGCATTCGGCAATCCCCGCAATTATACTGCGTATGCGCCCTTATCCCATTCTCAGACATGATATCCTTGGGACGCGTTTTATCCCTATGTAACCCCCATAAGCAGAAACACCGGATATTTTTTTTTAAAAAAAATAGCTTGGGGAGAAAAGGGGAAAAAAAAATTTATCGCGCGGTTTCGCGTATTTAAGTGCGAGTTTCCGATAACTTACATTTCAAAAGATTTAACGAGTAACGGTATCTAGTTACTTTTAAAAAGGAACTCGTTGAGCAATATTTATAATAGCCATTGGTTAAGAAAAAGATACATTATGTCATTTTTTGCAGAATTAATTTTTTAACAGATCGGTGAAATTTATTTTTGAAATTTCATAAACAAATAAGTACAAGGTGGCAACAAAGGGGAATAGGGATCGCCATTTTTTTTAAATTTTTTTTATCAACTTTTTGGAATATATATTCGTTGTTATTGTATTGATATATGTTATTAATTGCAAGTTTGCGCAATCGAGGACCAATGAAATAAGAGAGATCCTTCTAGATCTCGTGCGCTTGCGTGTCTATTTTTTTTTATTATAAGCACAAATAGGTTTGTTAAAAGAGAAGAATGAGCAGAGATCCTAACAGTAACAAATATCGATTCGAGTTCAGAGATAAAAATAGCGGGTTGAAGTTAGGTTCGCGAACTTTAAATGCGCAAACTGATACAATCGACGCCGTATAAATTGAAATGTTTTTCTAGAGATTGTCTTCTGGTTCAATTATATCTAAACTCTATTAGAAAAGAGTGATTTTTGATACTTACCAATCAAATTTATTGATAATTTTAAAAAAAATTAAAACGATCTAAGTATCAAAAGGTTGAACCCGGTTCGCCAACCTCTTTAGATGTCCGGGTAAGTTTTCAGGGGATAAAAGATTTAACTGCTGGTTTGGATCCCGGGGTACGATAATTAATTGCCAAATAGAAAGTTTGGATTCTATTTGATGTTACGAATAATTCGATTCTTATAAAACGAATACCAAATTATTCGATTCGAAAATTACGAATCTATCAGTAAGTGTCTCATTATTCAGGCCGCATCTCTTTGAATCTTGATATATAAAAAACAAAAAATACATTTTTTATCACAAAAAATCGCTAGCTACGAAATAGTTAGAACGCGGTGGACGTGAAGTTCCCGCCTTATAAGCGCACGTTTGGGAAGCGTCTTCTCCTTCCTATACCAATCTTTGGAAGTTGGGCTCTCGCAATCTGTTCCTTTAGGATTTGTGCCATTCATTCTAAAGAAAAAATTTAATTTTCCCGTAAAAATATTTTTTATTATAAAAGTAAATTTATTTTGTCTGAAGTTTCTTTTATGTGTCCAATTAATTATTAATTACAAAATAAAAAAAAACCAATTTTTTTTAATCATTATTTAATTTTCCATTAATATTTTTTTTTTAAAAAAAGTATTTTTAATTTAACGAAACCTCTAAATCATATGTAACTAACTCCATTTATTAGATAATAAATATCGTATTACACACATACATTGTAAGTTTTACTCTTTTTTTTATTATATAATATTATATTAAGGCATTCGGAAATATTATATATAAAATATAATACACTGTTGATGATGATAATTCATTAATAATTGATAAATCTATAAAATATTCTAAGGAAAGAAATTGTTGTTAGCTAAAAAAAAAGTCGTAAAAATAATTTTTTTTGTTTTTACACGTGGTAGTATAGGGAAAATTTTTCTAATTTCTTCATTTTTTTTATTATTATTAATTATTAGTTTTTAGTAAATCTAGATCAAATAGATAAAAATTTTATTTCTCATTTTAATAATTCATTGAAAATCTTTTTTAAAAGGATGATCATCATCGATGTATAACATCTTTTAAGACATTCTCCCCCCCCCACGTTTGTTTTATTTACCTAGAGGATGTAAATGTTATTTACTGCAACATTTTCTCAGCTGTCGTCTTTAATAGTAATTTTTTTCTTCAAATGGTATTATGAGTTGTAATGATTTTATAATCTTTTTTAAAGCATATAATATGTTTTTGATAAGTAATGTATGTTGAGCTCATCGTTATTTTATTCTGTTCGATTTACCAGCATAGACATACGAAATCGACCTCTTGGACCGAGTAAGGGGTTATGACCGTAGAAACCGGTTGGTTAAAGAACAATGGCTTAATAGCTAGCCACTTACCTTTATTTAGGTCTTCTTAAGAAAGATACATGATTCTAATGACGATTAGGGTTATGACCGTAGAGACCGGGTGGTTAAGGAATAATGGCTTAATATAGATAGTCATTTACCTTAATCTAGGTCTTTTTAAGAAAGAAAAAAGATACATTAATCTAATGGTTTAGTTAGAAAAAAAAATGATTGACGATTGGGGTGAAATTACAGGCACTGAAAAGGAAAAAAAATCGCGAAAGAAAAAAAATTGAAAGGACGAAAATAAATTTTATAATTTTATTTTTAAAATAAAAATTTATTTTTAGCAAGGGACTCACCAAGAATTGTGTCAGAAAAAGGGAACATATTGGGAGTTCGTCAAAAATTCTAACGTCATCATTTGAAAAATGACAAAAGAAGAATAATGAAATAATAAATTACAAAATAAAATTACATATTTAATTTTATAAATTACATATTTAATTTTATAAATTACATATTTTTTTAAAGAGTAAAAAAATAATTTCACATTAAATTATGTTGTTTTTATAAGAGAAATATAGTATTTAATTTCATTATATATTTGTTATAATTAACTTCAATAATTATAAAATAAAAAAATAAAAATTATTCATAAATTTTAAAAAAGTAATCGTTTTTGGCTTATAAAAAAAAGGCCAATAAATGTTTGTAAAAAGAAGAAGAAAATTGGAAAAATATTTATAAGAATTTATAATTTTTTTGATAGATTCCCTCATTTTAATTTTAAATTCGAAAAAATTATGTTCTAGTTATTTAATGTAAGGAGGAATATATTATAATATAAAATTATAATATAATTATCTTAATTAACTTTTTTACCAAAACAGTATTTATTTCTATATATATATATATATGTGTTAGCGGCAATGTGTTATTTTTTCAACTTTAAAACAATTTTTTAGCGCGTTTTTTTGAATTTAAAAATCTAATTTTACCGGAAATAAATTCCAGCATGTTTAGAATACCCATCTTATGAATTGTAGATAATTTTACCTTGAATTTTGAGTTATTTATAATTTATATGAAAAATCTATGGAAGAAATAATATAAATTATATTAGGTTCTAAGCTCGTAATAAAATTATCTGAATTTCTTAGGGTAGGTGTTCCAAACATGATAGAATATATTTCCGGTAAAATCAGATTTTTTAAATTTAAAAAAATGCGCTAAAAAATTGTTTTAAAGTTGAAAAAATAACACACTAACATATATATAGCAAATAAAATACGTGAAGGTAGAAATTGAGTTAATTTGATATATATTTAAACGCTTTCAGAGAATGTTTTAAACTAAGGTCTCACCTTTTAAAGTCGCCAAGTTTGGTTTTTTATAATTCAAGATTTTAAAACTAAGGAGAAAAAAAAATAAGAGAGTAAACTTCTTGAAAAAGGGGGAAAAAATTTCCTGTTATCCTTTTTAGCTATCTATCCGGAATTTATTAAAAGAGTTTAAGTGAGTTATAGATAAACAATAAAAGTATATATACGTTAACATTTTTGTTACGCTAAGGTTGTAAGCCTACAAATTCCAAGAAAATCTTCTATAGAAGTATTTATCGGGCTTAATACTGCATTGTATATATATATGTGTATATATGTCTTCTGGGGATTCTGAATCTCTCAATTTTAAATCATTTACCGAGAGCGACTTAACATATAATCCGATTTAACTGGAAATGTATTCTAGCATGTTTAGAGTATTTACCCTATATATTTCAGCCATAGACACTTTGGTATTTTTTTAATTTATATTAATTAGGAGTCATTCTAAAATTCTTTGCTAAATTGTTTGAAATTTACAGTTTTGGGTACTCTATACATGCCGAAATACAATTCCTGTAAAATCAGATTTTAAAAATATGCCCTTAGTAAATGTTTTAAAATTGATAGATTTCGTATCCCCATACGATATATATATAGATTGACCTAACCTTCATTTTCCTTCGATATTCGATTGAATTAAAGAAGGTACAATATTCATCATTTAGAAAGAATTATGCTTTTCTTTTAATACATCTGTTCCGCGGTGGCGTAATAACGGCGCTGATGACTTGAACCACGAACCCTGTCTAAGGACCCATAGGTGGATTAAGATGTTATGCTCCTTCTTCAATTATCAAAGTGAAAACTTCATCATCGTAGATGATCTGCCTGGGCTATCGTGATTGGTTCACTACTACTTAAATCATCTGGCCTATAAAATAAATAAAATAATATGTAAAAATTTTGTGGTCGGGGACTTTTCCCTAATTTATTTTTTTCGCGGATCAATTCTTTTTCGTTTTTTTTTAAAAAAAAGAATCATTATCTTAAAATTACATATTATTAGAAACCAATCTTGTACGTATGTATATATGCGCAAATTTGGGATTAATTATTCACCTTTGGGATCATTATTTTATTACTTCAAATATGGAAGACAAAATGGAGGATGGCAGAGGCCGGGAACCGGAACTTCCAAACCGCGTTAAATCGAAGGAATGAAGATTCCTTTTTTCCAAATTTTAAGGGTGACCGAACCCATTTTTGGGTCTAAGTTCTCCTGTTAAAAGAAATTCTTTAAGTGTTATCCTTATATTAAAGCCCCCCCCCTCTCCCTGTATCTATTCAAATTTTAATTGGAACTTTTCCCCCGGTGGAATCATAGGAGGTTTTACTTCCATTTTGGATAGGAAGATGGGCGTTAATCCGATAAATATATGAATCGGTTTTTTTAAATAATAAAAAATACTAACAATGTGTCATTTTTACCTTACTAAATATTCTATACAGAGTAATTCACAAAAGTTAATTCGATTCACCGAATTCGTAAAAGATTAAACATTGCTCTCAGAATTAAAATTTGTCAATTATTTCCTAATTTCTAGGGATGACAATAAAACACTCCCTTTTTAATTATAGTTTCGTTTAAGATTTACCCCCCCCCCCTACGACCTGATATTTCAGAAGAAAACAACTTTATTTAGATTCTTGTTGGAGACAGAACGCACTAGCAAATATCTTTCGTAATCTCCCGTCAGTCCCCACATCTACAGGAGAGATATAACCTGAAATTTTTACTTCCTGCCTCCCCCCCCCCTTCCAAGTTATGTGGAGGCAAAATGTCTCCTTACCCTACGGTCTTGTAGCAGTTAGGTAGCGAATCTATTGCTTCATCATAACCTCAAGGGAGTAACCTCACAGTATCTTAGGGTTAAAAATCTTCTTCAGAGATTTTAAACTGATTGAAGATTTTGTTAGGTTTTTCATAAAATCCAACCTAAAATTTTATTTTTTTATTTCTGATTTTTATTCATAAAAAAGGATCTATTTTTATAATCTTCAAAAATTTGCTCAAAATTTTTTTTTGGTGGATTAAAATTAATCTTTTAGAACTATTAAGAATCCATTTTTGCATTTTAATTATTTCATACTTTATGGTCACCCAGGAGCTAAGGGGTCACCGTCATAACCTTACCCCCCCCCCCCCCACCTTCTATTCCGAGCTAAAGGATTAAATATTCTATGCCCTCAAAAAAAGTAAAACAACATTCTAATTTTTATTTTTTTGTAATTTATTATTCATTTTTCCTCCGTGATAATTTTGTTCACCAACTACAGAATTTAATTATAAAAAACAAAAAAATAGTTTTTTAAAAAAAACTCTATCTAATAAATAAATTAATGTCCAACCATTAATTAATCATTGAAGTTCGTAAATATTAATTAAAAACACCTAGTTTTTTTAAGTTGTCATTTTCTTCCACGGAATTAATTAAGAATTAATTTATTTTTGAAAAGGTGATCACATTTTAGAAAAGAAGAAGAAAAAAATACACTAAAACTTGCATTTGTAAATCTTTCTTTCTAGCATTCTAGATGGATGTCCGAATAGAATGTAGTCCTAAGAACTTTAAAAGTTACATTATAAATGCGCAACCTTCAATTTTTTAATCTATACTAAAAATTAATATAAATTAGAAGTAGTTCTACTAAAGTTCATGACAAAAATGGCTGAAATTTATCGGGCAAATTACTCTAACACATGCTAGAATACATTTCCGGTTAAGTCGGATCTTAAAATTTTTTGATTCGCTCCTTGGGTAAAGGATTTATGATCAAGAGATTCCGAATCCGCAGACGACATATAAAAAAAAAGAATGTTTTTAGACACCTTTTTATTTTTGATAGAATGCACCATTCAGAATTAAGAGAACTGAGCTAGCTATAGATCCCCCGCTTTTACCCCGCATTCACAGTTAGCGCGAATTAACGGCGAAGTAATGTTTCTTACAATTCACCCGCGAAATTTTTTATGCATCGCCGCGTAATACGCGTTAACTGTTAATGCGGGGGTTAATATCCGAAACAAAAAAGAAATTTTTTATGACAAATTTAATTCTTAATTTATACTTTTTTTCCTTCCCTCTTCCCTTATAAACCAAAAAAAAAAATATTATTATTTATTTAATTTAGATGGGCAAATTGTGGTGCCATTGTCAGGGTAGTAAGGGGGTAAGACATGACCCCTCTAATGTGGAGGTAGGGTAAAAGTTAATCTCGTCATCGATCTCAGGAATGGTGGAAGTGGTTGCTATTTTGGTCACCCCACAGTTGGTTTCCACATTATTAGATTGGTAGTGTAAGGGAGAGGGATAGGGCTCTGGCAAAGGGGGGGGGGGGGGGGGTGCTCAGAATCTCTTCCTAAAACGAAGTACTATTTAAACGTTCTTCTAGAAGGTTTGTTAATATAAATGTTAGCCTTTTGTTAATTGAGCATAATTTTTTGTGGGCACCCCCATATTTAAAATTTATCGCTTACGCATCCCCCTAAAATATTTAAGAAGATGACTATATCCTGAATTCATATTTTGGGCACGTGATTTTTTTACTATATTGCGAAACGGGGCACATAGCATCCGACTTTGTTGGTTTTTTTTTTCGTAGAAGTATTTGATGCGACTATCAGCTGATTTACCGCGAAATTCTTATTTGGACGCGATTTATGATACGAACAAAACGATACATGGCGTCCAACCTTATTTGTTTTGTTTAAAATTTTATTTATTTTTTGGTAAACATATGATTATGGTTGCCGAACCCTTAAAGGTTAGAGGCATAGACCGAGACATTTGGCTTTCGTCAGCTTTCATCAACTAAAACCCCGAATTTATAGTTTACAGCGAATTTCGCTGCGGAGTATACAACTACACGGAACATTTTTTTAGCATTTTTATCAAAAATGTTAAAACAAAGAAAATTCTGTCTAAAATTAGTAAAAAAAAATTAGTAATCTACCAAAATATTTTTACCAATCTTATATAAGAAAAATGTATCTTTTTCTTAGGGGACTCTCCCCAATTCTAACAATGCCCCAGGATCCGAAGCCTGGCCTA